CTGGCCTGCTATTTTCCATGAATTCTCATTTTGTCAAATAGACCATTCATTAAGCACTTACTATAAATTGGGCTTTAAAAATTATATTATATTTGAGTATCAATCTTGTTTCTTTTTAATGGGAGGATTCTTGGGGACGGGCACCATGCTTTTATAGGTAATAATAAGTTGTCTTTCCATGGCAATTTAAATAGGTAATATATTAGTATCCTCATTTTACAGATGAGAAAACAAAAGGTAAGGGGGAGAAGGGGGTGCGCTAAGTAACTTGCCTGGTCATATAACCAGTACCGGAGGCAGGATTACATCCCAGGACTCCTCGTTAGGGCAGCGAGGTGATGCCATAGTGCATAGAGCTCTGCGCCTGGACTCAGAAAGACTCATCTCTGTGAGTTCAAATCTGGCCTCAGACACTTACCAGCTGTGGGACCCTGAGCAAGTCATTTAACCCTGTTTTCCTCAGTTTCCTCATCTGTAAAATGGCTGAAAGAGGAAATGGCAAACCACTTCAGTATCTTTCCTAAGAACACCCCAAACGGAGTCATGAGCATTTACACACAATTGAAAAAAACAACTGAAACAACTCCTCATTACGAGTACCATACCTTGGATGAAGTACCTTCACATATTGGAGCTCAATTTCATAAATAATAAATCTAGTCCTTCCATTCTTGAGATGCTTCATGACATGCGGAGAGCACGCTAGATATAGATCAGACTGTACTTGGGACACACATTAGCTGTGGGACTGTGGGAAAGTCATTTAACTTTTCTGAGTTTTCTCCTCTGTAGAATGTAGATAATACTACTTTAAACATCTACCCCACAGAGCTGTCATGAAGCTCAAATTCAAAAACATAAGTGCATGTAAAGTGCTGTGTAAACTTCAAGACACTTTATAAATGCTCATTATTTTAAAAATCTGAAAAATGTAATTAGGCAGGACAGACGTTGTGTAAAATAGGACATAGCAGCAATTTACGTGTGTATAGCAATCATAGATTTAGAGGTAGAAGGGGCCTCAGACGCCATCTGGTCTCACTTCTCTCGTTTTTCAGGTGAGGAGACTGAGACTCAAGGCGATTGACTTGCCTAAGGTCACACAGGTTATAAATAACAGAGGTATAACTTGAATGCCTGTCCCTTGACCCTAAAGCTAGTGTCCCTTCTGTTCTGTCTGCCTGCCATTGGACTGTGATCTTCTTGACAGCAGACTGTCTTTTGACTTTCTTTGTATCTGCAACATTTAACACAGTGCCTGATATGTAGTAGGCACTTAAATGTTTACTGACTGACTGATTGATTTGCTAACCGAATGCCTCTTGTCCTTACAATCTCACAGAATGGAACTCATACGCCCTTTCAAGTGTAGAACATCACTGAGTTGGATTTTGTTTTGCCTGCTTGATGTAATAAGTCTTCTTCCCATTTCTCCATTGGTCTCTCCCCTTCTCTAGGACATCGGATCCCCATCATAGAAAGCACAGTACATTGGAATATTGCCAGTATAACCTACCTCTCTGGGTTCTTGTGAGGAAAGCACTTTGTAAGCAAGTGCTATATAAATCTCAGCTACAATTATTAACTAATTAATAATCAACCAAGAACATTTATTAAGCACCCACAATATGCCAGGCACTGTGCTAAGTGCTAGGGACACAAAAAGAGGCAAAAGACGGTCCTTGCCCTGGAGAAGTTTATAATCCAAAGGAGAAAAATGAAACAAAACATGCAATTATATACAAAGCAGGCTATGTACGGGATAAATAAGAAACAAAGAGGGAGAGCACTGGAATTAAGAGGGATTAGAGAAAGCTTCCTGTAGAAGGTGAGATTTTAATTGGGACTTGAAAGAAGCCAGGGAGGTCAGTACTTGGGATGGAGAAGGGAAATTATCCCAGGCATGGAAGAGAACCTAAGAAAATGCCCAGGTTCAAGAGATGGGATATGTTGGTCATGGAACCACAAGGACGCCAGTAACACTGGATCTAAGGGTACATTGCAAGGAGTAAGGTATAAGAAGACTGGAAAGATAGAAGGGCTTTGAATGCCAAACAGAATATTTTGCATTTGAATAGGAAGTCACTGGGGTTTATTGAGTAGAGGAAGTGACATGATGAGACCTGTGTTTGGGGAAAATCACTTTAGTGGTTAAATGGAGGATGGATTGAAATGGGGAGAGACTTGAGGCAGGCAGACCCATCAACTGGCTATCACCATAGTCCAGGTATGAGGTGATGACGGCCTACACCAGGGTGGGAGCAGTGTCAGAGGAGAGAAGGGGGCGTATTCCAGAGCTGTTGCAAAGGTGAAATGGAGAGGCCTTGGCAACAGATGGGGTATGGGCTCTGAGAGATAGTGAGGAATTCAGGATTACTCCTAGGTTGTGAGCCTAAGGGACTAGGAGAATAGTGTTGCCTTCTATAGTAATATAGAATGGGGGGAGGGGTGATGCTTAAATGTTTAGGGGGAAAGATAATGAGTTCAGTTTGGGACACATTGAATTTAAGACGTCTGCTGGACATTCAGTTCAAGGTATCTGAAAGGCAGCTGGAGATACAAGATTGTAGGCCAGCAGAGAAATTGAGGCAGGAAAGGAAGATTTGAGAATCATCAGCAAAGAGGTGGTAATTAAATCCACTGGAGCTGATGAGATGATGAAATAAAGTAGTACAGAGGGATGAGAGAAGAAGGCCCAGGACAGAACCTGAGGGACATCTACCAATAGAGGGTGTGATCTGGAGGAGGACCCAGCTAAGGAGACAGTGGTTAGGGAAGAAAACCAGCAGCATGTGGTATCGGAAACCGCAGAGACGAAAGTATCTAGGAGAAAAATGATCATCAGGGTCAAAAGCTGCAGAAAGACCCAGGAGAATGAGGGCTGAGAAGAGGCCATTGCATTTAAATCTTCGGTAACTCTGGAACAGAACAGTTTTTGTGGAATGATGAGTTTGGAAGCCACGATTGTAAGGGGTTAGGGAGAGAGTGAGAGAAAAGTGTAGTTTAGATGGCCTTTTCAAGGAGTTTTGCTACAAAGGACCTAAGAGAAATAGGACGATAGTTAGCAGAGATGGTAAAACCAAGTAAGTGATTTTTTTTTCAGGCTAGCCACTATTATTACCAGTAGCTCTATATCTGTTACATGAGTAATAGGGTGTAATTGGAAGAGCCCTGACTTTGGAGTCAGATTCCCTAAATCTGTTAACATTCATTGGGCAAATCTTTTTTTTTTTTTTGCTTTTTTGGCTAGGCAATGGGGTTAAGTGACTTGCCCAGGGTCACACAGCTAGTAAGTGTCAAGTGTTTGAGACCACATTTGAACTCAGGTCCTCCTGACTCCCGAGCTGGTGCTCTGTCCACTGCATCACCTAGCTGCCCCCCAAATCATTTTCTTAGCCTTAATCTAATATGTAAAAGTCGAGGTCCAACTCAATCATTCTTAAAGTCCTTCTTGGCTATTAAGTCCTATTATCTTTGCCACTTTATAGTTCTGGAGAGAATCCTGATTTTAGAGTTAGAAAACCTGAGTTTGGATTCTGGCATAACCGCTTATTAGGTGGGTGACCTGGAAGAAGTCCTTTCCCTGCTCCCCATCTGTTTTCTCATTCCACTGATCACCAAGCATTTATTAAGAATCTACATCATGCCACGCATTATGTCGGGGTTGCAAAGACCGTGACAACACGGATTTTCTAGGTGGTGTTTTGGAGAGAGCACTGCACTTGAAATCAGAAAGCTCTGAGTTTGAATTCTGATTCAGGCACTAGCTGTGTGATGCTGAGCACTGAACTCAGCCTCAGTCTCCTAATCTGAAAAATGGAGATAATAATTAGCACCTAGCTCACTGCCTAGGAACAAATGAGTTAACGTATAGAAAGTGCTTTGCAGACCTTAAAGTGCTATATAAATTCTAGTTGTTATTACTACTACCAGCCAGACCTTGTGTACATACATACCAAAGTCTCTTCCAACTCTATATCCAGTCTTGTTTTGTGTAATTCTAGAGACCTCAGGGTAGAATCTCAAGGAACTACCTCGGTAATGATTAAACAGTTCTCAGTTTTGATTAGAAACTTTCTTGTTTTTCTCCCAGCAAAGGATTCTCCTCCTGGGTCACTCCCTGTTCCCGTAAAGTTGTGGGTGTAATTTTTCTTTCTTTCTTTTTTGTTTGTTTGTTTGTTTGTTTCAGCTCTAGTGAAAGATGTCCAGCAGTCATTCCCTCGGCTTGAAATATCTCCGCAGCCCAGGTACCCTGCCTCACCCCACCCTTAATGCCTTACTCCTGACTCAGAGGGAAACCCTCTGGGAGTGAGAACTGAGAGCCTGAATCATCCTTATCCAGGCTTTATTGTCTTGCAAAGTATCTACTGCTCTGCCGGGAAAGCCTGGACTGAAATCTGTTGCCAATGAGTGTGACTAAAGCCTCAATTATTCTGCAATCCTTAAGGACCGCAGGCATTTTAGCAAAAACCAAAAAATAAAATAAAATAAAATAAATCCCCTTTAGTGTCAAAAAGAAAAAAAAAAGGAGCTCACTGCTGGGACTCTGAGTCTAGGAGTCCAGGCTTTGCCTCCTCCAGCTAGCTGTGTGACCTTGGGTGAGTCACTTAGTTTTTTAATAAATTGTACTTGCCCTACCCAAGTTTTACTGTGAGAATGAAATGAAGTGATACATCTGTGAAACTATTCAGTGGGAGAAAATAATTTAAGCACTGGGATTTGGGGACACCCTAGCCATCCGTGTGTTTTGTCTGTGCACTAACTGTTGTTTTTGCCAAAACCATTTCGATGTAAACAAAAGTGTTTGTTTAAATTCATAGGGCTCAACCTTCACAGCCCAATTTCATTAAGATTTTGAACAGGGTCTGGTCATCTGTTCCATCAGGAAGTGAGTGAATTAACCTGTCCAGAATCACCCAGGTATTAAGAACAAAGTGCTTTGCAAACCTTAAAACATAATGTAATTGCTAAGATTATTATTAATATTCTCATGGTTATTAACATATGATTATAATAATTGTGTTGTACAGTTATTAATACTCATAATTGGAATTTCTATGGAGCTTTAAAGTTTGCAAAGCACTTTACATATTATCTTATTTGATCCTCACAACAATCTTATGAGGTAGCTGTTGTTATCGTTATTATTATTATCCCAATTTTACAAATAAAGAACTGAATATGAGACAAGTGAATTGACTTGCCCATGGTTACCTTCCACCGTCACTCAATAATGAAACTTTAATAATTCAGAGTTTTTTATTATTTTTTACATTGAAAAATAAATTTTAAGTTGGAGGGCTTAACAGCACCACAGATTTGGATAATTAAATGAGCAAAACAGAAAAGCTCTTCTAAGTTAAGACTTTGCTTTAAATGGGAGTAGCTAATTCCCATTTCCACCCTAGTATTATTTGTTTGTATTTCATATTTCATTCACTTTTTCTCAGAGTCACCTGGGTCATTGGTGTGTTTTCCATTGGTCGTTGAATGTCTCCTACCGTACTCAAAAGACCAACTGGAGGTGGAGGGTGGTGGTAGAGAGCAGAAAATAAAAACCATTTGCATTGAGAGTTGAAATAAAAAGAGGATGTTGTAGTTCAAGGTGAGGCTCATGCACATCTGTGTCCATGCAGAGAGCAGACTCTCAGGTAATTCTTTTGTGCACTAGACCAAGAAAAGAAAACTCAAGCTGCTTTATCCTCCTCCCCAAGCCTCATTAAGTCTAAATTCTAATCCAATCTAACAAACTCTTAGTTCTTAGTTTACCTAGACTCAGTCCTTGGCCTCTGAGAGATTACAATCTAGCGGAGGAAAAATAGGAAAAGGAAGAGTGGAATTGGCAGGCAAATAAGACATGGATATTATAACTAATACCTAATAACTACAAACAAAGTCATGAATAATTCCTGTGTTTACACTCCACTACCCAAAGGCTAATTGTTGATTTAAATATTGGCTCATGTTCTTTCTCACAAGTGTTAACACGTGAAAGTATTGTCACAAGAGCTGAGCTTCCTGGTGAGAAAGTAATTCAAACATACATGTAAAATCCAAACAGGTTCATTTATTAAAGGGCTTTAATCAAAGCAGAGCCTGCTAAGTTAAACAAACAATGACCTTGTTGGTTAAAGTAATAACAGAAGAGCAATTTGCTGACTTCTTTCTGCCATATTAGCTGGCATTCAGTAGTAGCCATCAAATATAGGTCAAGGGTAAGAACAGCTTTAAAGATGGTGGGCAAAAATGCATAGTTATCATTGATGACATATGAGAAAAATACCTAGGGCCTTTCAAAACTGTTCTAGGTGGGACCAGGCAAAGCAGCTGTTGTATTTGTAGAATTTATAGTTGGAAGGGACCTTAAAGATCTTCTAATCCAGCAGTTTTCAAACTTTTTAGTCTAACAGCTCCTTTATACTCTTAAAAATTATTGAGGATGCCAAAAAGCCTTTGTTCGTGTGGGTTATACAGGGTTTTTTAAAATGTGGGTTTATGTGAATTACCTAGCAGTATTTACCATATCAGACATTAAAACATTGATGATGATGATGATGATGATGATGATAATGATGACAAAAATAGTTTTTTGCCTTGAAGACTCCCCAAAAGGGTCTGGGGCACCCTTAGGAGTCTCAGAGCATACTTCAAGGATCTTTGATCTACTCTAATCCCATCACTTAGATCAGGAAGCTGAGGGTTAGAGAGTGACAAGGCCCAAGATCATACAGGCAGGAAGAAGTGGCACCACAGTTCCAAATAGGATCCCCTGACTCCAAATGCTATGGGCTTCCCACCATGCAACACTGTCATCATCAGTTCCCCATTTATACATAGGGTGGTGCAAAGTTCTTTGGTTCTGAAATCACAGAAGCCCTGCATTCAAATCCCATCTCTACTGTGTAACCTTGGCCAAGTTATTTGGCTATTTGGCGCAACGGATAATGCCTAAGGCCTAGAGTCAAATCTAACTTCAGACACTTATTAGCTCTGTGACCCTGGGCAAGTCACTTAATCGCTATCTGCCTCAGTTTACTCATCTGCAAAATGAGAATAATAATAGCACCTACCTCCCAGAGTTGTTGTGAGGATCAAATGAAATAATATATGTAAAGCACAGTGTCTGGCGCATAGGGTGCACTATATAAATGTTAGTTATTAGTAGTAATAGTACTATTATACATCCCTGGGGTTCAGTTTCCTCACCTGTAAAATGAGGAATTAAACTAGATGTCCTCTGCGGTCCCTTTTAGCTTTAGAACTAAGATCCGAGATGGTCCCTTTCCCAACTGCCCTTCTGAATCTGCTCTCTATCAAAGGTGATGCAGTGGATAGAGTGCCAGGCCTGGAATCAGGAAGACTCATCTTCCCGAATTCAAATCTGGCCTGAGACACTGATTAGCTGGGTGTCACTGGGCAAGTCATTTAACCCTCTTTGCTTTAGTTTTCTCATATGTAAAATGAGCTACAAAAGGAAACAGCAAATCATTCCAGTATCTTTGCTAAGAAATCCCCAAATGTCAGGAAGAATCAGACACAACTGAAAATAACTGAATAACAACTCAGTTAAAAAGTTTAATCTTTTAAAAATGTCTTCTCTGAAGTTTTTTCACTGGCCCTTTTCTAGTCAAATCAATGAGATTTCTTTGTGAAGCACTCACTATTTGCCAGGCATTATGCTAAGTACTGGGCACACAAAAAAAGACAAAAGATATTCCCTACTCTCGAAAAGCTCACAGTATAATGGGGGAGACATGCAAATAACTATGACCAAATGAGATATAGATAGGATAAACTGGTGATAGCCTCAGAGGGAAGTGCACTAAGATTAAGGAAGAGGGGGGAAGGCTTCTTGTATCAGCTTTAGCTTATGCATAAACTTTAGCTGAGAGTTAAAGGAAGCCAGGAGGGAAGATGAGGAGGGAGGGAGATCCTTTTCTCTTCTCTCCATCCTTTCTTTTGACAAACTCATTCACTATTATGATTTTTTAACAATTATCTCTATGCAGGTGTTTCTCAAGTATCTGTTTCATATCCTGACCTGTCCTGTGACTTCTAAATCCATATCTTCTATTGCCTATTGGTCATGACCAATCTTGAATTTGTTTCTCTCTAAACCTTCTGACTTCACCATTTCTGACTCACCCAGTCAATTGAAATGTTTATGTTTGGTGTTTCCCTCTTTCTCACCTTTCATTTCCTATTAGTCATCAAGTTCTATTGATTTTACTTCTTCTACTTGTCTTCTCTTCACTCTAAGTAATGATAATAATAGTAATGATAATAATAGCAACTGCTTAAATTTTCCAAAGAACTTTATATATATATTATCTCATTTGACTACTTCAGCAGTCTCTTAGTTTTCTTGTGTCTATTCCCTTCCCCTTGAATCAGATTCTTATGAATTGATCTAGTCATGCTACTCTTCTGTTAAAAAATATTTGGATACTATCAATTTCCTGCTGAATTAAGTTCATACTGCTGATATTTAAATACTCAAACCTCTCCCATTAATTGACTCCAGTTTCTCTTTTCAAATTCATCTCATAATACTTCTGTCCACATACTCTGTTCTCTAGCCGGTTTGAATGAGTGTTTCTGACAAAAATCATGTGTTTTCTCATATCCATGAATGGATGAACAAAAGATGAATGAATGAAAGAGCAATTATTAAGCATCTGCTTTGTTACAAGTATTGTACTAAGTGCTGTGCAAAAACTGAAATGGCCCCTGCCCCCAAGAAGTTTATATTCTAATGAGGGAAACACCACCTAGATGACAGTGGCCAAGGGAAAGAGTTTTGATCTGGAGAGCCATGGGGATTGGTGATTGATCCACAGGGCATTCAGTTGACAGACTCTTTCCAAAAAACTATTACTCTTTATTTGATGGTGCTACTCATAGCAAGAATTGGAAATAGGCTGACAGAGGGGCAGCAAGATTGCATGTACTTGGGTAGGGTAGATGGAAAGATGGCCTCAGGGACCTGAAGCACAGTCTAATTTGGTCTGGTCTGGTTTGGAGCAGGCTAGATACACTGGGCTAGACAAATTGCTTTTGCCCCATGCCTTTGCTCACAACTGTCCCTTGTCTCTTAAATGTCTTCCCTTCCCATCTTTATAGATTAAATTCCTACTTATACTTTAATGGCAATCTCATTCATGAGGGTAGAGTCTTAATTTTACCTAAACTTTGTATTTCCTCCAGTGTTTAATATGGCGCTGCATGCCTGGAAGGTGCTTAGTAAGTCTTGTTGAATTGAATTGATTTGAATGTCAATGCATTTAACTTTCTAAGAACAATTCATAGTGTGGATACGGATGGCTAAGCAGGAATACTGCTATAAAAAAAGCAGACATTCAAGTCCCTTTGATAGCAATAACACCTTTCAGTGAGGGCTGCTTTTCACAATCAGAGCTCTTTCACAGCTGTATTTCATCCTCACAGTAGCACTGTGATAGAGGTATCAATCAAACAAGCATGTATTAAGCACCTACTATGTGCCATCCATTAAGAATACAAAATCAAAAGTGAAACAATCCCTACTTTCAAAGAGCTTTCATTTTAGGTAGAGTAGATATTAGGAGAAGGCATCGATAATTAAGGCAAATTTTCATTTTTTCAGAAATTATATTACTCTGACAGTGGAATGCTACTCTGATATTCTGTTCCATCATGACTTGGAGGTGACTCTGGAGATTTTTAGTGTTAGCTTCATGATGAAATGTAGAACTCTTTCACAGCTAGCCTCATCACTAGAAAGTTGAGCAGCAGATAAAGAACTCAAAAAATATATATCTATAAAGGAGTGGAAGGGCTCTGCTTTATTTCAATGAAAGTGTAAAATCAAGGAATCTTTTGGAGTGAATTATTCATTATTACATACTCTTGGTACTAAATCTTGAGATTGGCACTCGTGGTTTGTGTGATATAACATTGCAATATGCTCACATTTCTGAAATAAAGTATTTTTAAAATTCACTGAAATTTCATCTAACTCATTGACTCTCCTCTCTATTATCCTATTTTACAGATGAGGAAATTGAGGCCAGGGGTAGTTTCCTTTCTTGAGAAGTCAACTGATGACCAAACAATTAATGAATGAAGATATTCTGACTTCTGGTTTTTGTGCTTTGTCCATGATGTCACTCTGTATGTTGGTAAAAACCAAAAAGGAAATACTATGCAAATAGGGTTGTCATTTGTTGAATTAGAATTCCATTGTTCAAGGACCTTTTTCTGAGAAAAGGCAAATGGTGATATTGATTTTTCGACATGCAAAAAGGTGTTAGCATCAATTAGGAGAATTTTCCCTGGAAAAGAAAACAAATTTTGCCATAGTTTAAAAAAAAAAAACAAAACAAACATAATTGGAGACATGCAGCTAGAGTAAACCAGAGTGAATAAAAGGTCCCCGAGAAGTAATAGTAACATGTGGTATCTCATTAATAGAATACTTGAAAATTATAAAGTACTTTGTATTTATTTTTTCTCATTTGAACCTTGCAACAACCCAAGGAGGTATGTGGTTCAAATGTTATTACCCCTATTTTTATAGATGACAGAGGCCAAGTAATTTACTTAAAGTCACATAGGTAGTAAATGGCAGATTCAGGATTTGAACCCACTCCCCAAGCCTCATGACTTCCTCATTTTTTTGTTTTTTTCCACTATACTCTACCTCTTTCACTCCCAAGATATTTGTCGGGGGGCTTCATGACCCATAAGTCTGTGAAAAGGCATCTGGTAATAGCACGACTCCAACATACCTTATTTTTCATAAGAACATTTGCAGTGGGCCTAGAGAGAAGCTAGATAAGATCCTGTAAGACAAGGTACATCAGAAGATTAGAATTTTAATTGTATTTTTTTAATTAACAAAAAATTATTTCTTCCTCCTTTCTCTACCAATGGAAAAGAAAAAGAAAATCCTTGTAAGAGATATAGCAGTCAACCAAAACAAATATTAGCCATGTCATAATTAATCCTCTGGAATCATGGTTAGTCACTGGATAGATCAGAGCGCCTAAGTCTTTCAAAGTTGTTTGTTGTTGCAACAGATGCTAATATAAATTATTCTCTTGGTCCTGCTCACTTCACTCCGCTTCAGATCATCCAAGTCTTCCAAGGTTTCTCTGAAACTGTTTCTTATGATGCAATAATATTCTATTACATTCAGATTCCATCATCTGTTCAGCCATTCCTCAATTGAAGGGTGCTCCCTTAGCTTCCAGTTCTTTGCCACCACAAAAAGAGCTGCTATAAATATTTTTTTTAATAAATATGTGAGTCCTTTTCCTCTTTCTTTGATCTCTTTGGAGAGATAGGCCTAGTAGTGGTATCACTGGGTATGAGGACATACATAGTTTAGTAATTTGAGAGAGGAGAGCATTTTCCATAGCTTTCTAAAATGATTCTACCTACACATCTCCACCAACTGTTCATTAGCTTGCCTGTTTTTCTGCAGCCTTTGGGAAGGAGAGACAGAAAAGAAAACCATGAAAAGAACAGGAAAAAGAAGAAAATGGTAGCTGGGCCTTGAGCTCTAGGATCTCATTTGGACCACAGTGAGGTTGATGAGAAGCCACCTGAGAAGGTCTGTCAGAGGTTTCAGAGACTTTTCTGTTGCCACTGAAAGCAAGCTTCCTTCAGGTGCTTCCGCTCTAAGAAGTCAATGTTCTCAAGATTATTGGTGCTTCATGGAAGTGAACAAGCAGATGCCTGGGCAGAGAGACTTTTCTCTAAAACTAATTTTTAACACGCTGCCGAGAGAATTGTCCTGTGGCATTTGATGCCTGTGGAAAGCATTTGTTCTGGCAAATGCCTGCTACTAATTCTAGTTCTTTGTCATTTACCTTGTATTCTGTTTTAAGTGAATATTCTCCTATTGGAAGTGGGGAGCAGAGGAAAGGCCTTCGCCTTAGACTCAGTCAGGCCTCTTTTTCTCTCCTCCCTCCCCAACTCCCACTGCCATCTTTGATTGCAATAGGACTTTCTAGCTTCAAAGGGTCCAGAGCAAGGATGGGGAATCTGCGGACTTAAAGCCACACAGCCTTCTAGATCCTTAAGTATGGCCATTTGACTGAATCAAATTAGATTTGTTCTGTAAAATTTGGAGTCAGTCAAAAGGATGCACTTAAGGATCTAAAAGGCCATGTATGGCCTCAAGGCCACAGGTTTCCCACCCCTGATCCAGAGGATATTGGACTTCCCATCTTCCCACCACTCCTAAGTGTTATGCCAGCATCAGTTGGCAGTGTGCAGCATCAGTACCACACAGTTGGGAACCAAAGACAACCAGACTTAGGGCTCTCCTAAGAGGAGCTTCTGAAGTACTCCACAAAAGGGAGAAAAAAGACTTCCAGTAACCGGGAGTTGTAAATGTGACATGCGCTCTCTAAGCTTCAACCCATTTCCCCTGGGCTCTGTATCTACTTGAAAGCAGAGTGTCACAGACTTTTTTTGGTGGGGAGGAATGTTTTATACCAACTCATCCCATACCACTTATTAATAATAACCTTTTCTAAAAGCTAAAATAATAAATGAATAATATTTTGTTTTGTCAAAGGGGCATTTGGATAAAAAATAAATAAAAAGGGTGGGGATTCTGAGCAGTGGTTTTGAATAGATGATGAAGCCAAATAAATACTAAGAACCTAAACATAGCTTTGAGTGCTCCATACTGTAGTACAACTAAATAAATGAACTTGTCCAAATTATTATGTTACCTAAGCACACATTTCACTATGGATGACCATAAAATTTAATAAGGCTTAATAAGGCAAGATGATGGGAAATGGAAACCCAAAGAGACTTGAGTTGGAAACTTCATTCCCATAACTGGCAAAGGCGGATGGGGTCATTTTCTCTGCAAGGTCCTGAATAAATTAATACTTCATAAGTAGTGACAGTTTAATGGGTCATCTGACCTTGAGGAAAAGATAGGAACTCTGTTCTTGTGTAGTAAAACAAACACCAAACAACTTGCAAATAAAAAGCAGACAATGGATAGCACACTTTTTAAAAGAAAAGCTTCAGAATTTGTGGACATTTTAAACAGCCACTTGGGAACACATAAACTGTTTCTCAAGTGCACAGAAATGCATTAAGGATTGCACTGCTTTGCGATAGGTTGAAAATACAGTGTTAAGAAAGTTGAGAATTTTGTTTTGTGAAGAAGAACATGCATAATATTTGAATGAGATTTAGATTTCAGATCGTTAATTAGCTACCTTAAACTTGTGGCCATTTCTGAGGCATATGTATTTGTGGTTTTTGTTGTTTTTTTTTAATTTAAAGAAGAAAATCTTTTTTTTTTCACTGTTTTTAAAAGGAAGAGCCTTGAATCAATTCACAGCACTCATGAAAAGAGGAGGCTAGTTCTAGCCCATGTTTGACTATTCAGAACCTGATGATTCTGTATCTAGATTTCTTGATGGTCACCATTTTTATCCTGCTTCCTTCCCCTTAGTCATTACTACTACCTCCATTTAAGCGCTAGCAGGAAGAGGGAAGGAACACAACACAGCTAAACTTTTTTGTTTGTTAGCTCATTTTGGCAAAAGGACTCTTTGGGGAGGAGGTCAAACCCATTGGCTGAAATGTTTAGAGGTCTTATAATTTCCTTTATCTCTGCTATTTCCCACAGTGGTCAAATACTGGTATGAGTGAACTAGATGTTATCTGCTTATACAATACCAAGATTTCTAGGGTCCCGTACAATTAACTACTATTTGTCATGGCCATCTAATTGGTCTTCCTACCTCCAATCTCTCCCTCTTCAATCTATCCTTTGAATTGTGCAAAATTGCTATTCTAAAACATAAATATGACTTAATCAAACATGTTCCCTACTATCTCCAAGTTAAAGTTAAAGCTCCTCAGTCTGATTTTTAAAGTCCTCCATAATCTGACTCCCACCTACCTTTATGGCCTTATTTGATATATATTACTCCCCACTTGCCCACTTTCTATTCTAGTTAAATTGGCCTACCAGTTCTCCCCTCCCCCATACATGTTGTCATTTCCTGCCTCTGTGCCTTTGCCAGAGTGCTGCTTCCTGCCTGCAATGTGCTCTCTCTTCCTAGCTTTCATCACATAGAAACCACCACTTCATTTGATGGAAAGTTCAAGTATCCACTCCTATTTCTGTACTTTTCTGATCCCTCCAGTGATTAGCATTCTTTCCTTTATTAATCCATATAATTTATTTAAATTAATGCTTATGGTTTTGTATATCCTTTGTATTTACATATGTAAATCTGGTATCTGTTCAGTAGAAAGTAGGTTGCGTGAGGGCAGGAATTGTTTCATTTTTGTCTTTGTACCCCCCTCACCTAGCATGGTGCTTTGCATATAGTAGGTATTTAATAAACCTTTGTTGAACATAATATAATTTAATTTTTCAGCAATTTTAATAGATTAGTAAGGAAAATAAATTGTATACATTATGCTTGGCCTTCCCAAGGGTAAGAATTCTTGGTTATGGAAATTTCAACACTGCTATCAACAAAAATGGGAATTCACCTATGGCAGCCCTCCTCACTTAGACATATTTCTTATGCAGTGAAGGTTTAGGGTTTAGGTTTAGGGCCTGAATGAATGGTTAGAGTGATTTTCTGATTAAATTGAAACTAATTAAGGTGACAAGTAAAAGGTTTGTGAAGAGGCTTTTGAGAATAGCAACTTCTCCAAAACAGAACTCAGTATCTTTCTTCCTAAGCCTTTCCTTCTTCCTGACTTCCCTATTACTCTTGAGAGTTCTTCTCTCCTCTCAGTCACCTGGGCTCCCAGCCCCAGAATCATCCTTAACTCCTTACTGGCACTCACCTCCCATGTCCAATCTATGGTCAAGTCTTATTTCTACTTTTACAATATCTCCTATATTCAACTACTTCCGTCCACTACCCATGTGCAGGTCTTCATCCTTCACATCTAGACCACTATAATATTCTGCTTGGTTTCCTTCCTTTGGTCTCTCCTCAAGTGATCTTCCTCAAGTACAGCTTTGATCATGCCACTCCCCTACTCAATAAATTCCAATGGCTTCCTGTTACCTCCAGGATCAACTATAAAAATTCTCTGATGAGCTTTTAAAGTCCTTTATAACTTACTCTCTTCCCTTCCCTTTCTAGCCTTCTT